AGTTCGTCTTTTAGTGTTTTAGTTAGCGGCAAAAGAAACAATTTCCTTCGCCCTCAACATTCACTGCCTTATTCCCTTTAACCTTTTGGATACCCATGTTTTGTGCTAGCCTAGTCCTATTATCATCATTCTTCTTTACTTTGCCCGTCCACTTGGACCTAGAAGAAGATGGTATAGACTAGGTTAGATTGATAGGAACGCCCATACTTTTGATTATCCCTTCATCTGTTACCAATTCTATAATAATATCAGCGAGTGTGAACTCAAACTGATTCCTTATTTAGTCTACTCTCAAAGAGCCGAACGAATTTGGTAATAAGGCAATAATCATGTCAATTTGAAACTTACCATTCAAGTCAGCCCTATTGACCTCCAGTTCAATTTTTAAATAATAAACAATCATTTTTAAAAATCCGATATCAAACTGGAGTTCCTCAGGCTATCTTAATGGTATTTAAATTTGATACAGTACTTAGGCATACGCCCTATCTAATCTCACTAAAACATCTCATTAAGTATCTTAAAATAAAGGAATTAGGTATAGGAGTATTAAATACATTTTGTACCCTTACGTTGTGAATAAAATATCTAAGTTCCTTTTCTAGTCATTATAAAAGAGGTCCACATACATTGAATATGTTAACAAGCAGATAACATTGATTAGACATAATTAATCTGAATATAAATGCATTCATACAATATGCAAGGCGAATTATTAATACTATTATGCATATTTAAAATTAAAATGAGTTTGTTAACCACATAATATAATAAATCTCAATAGAATAAGAGATCATTATCATTATCGGTAAACAATCCTATTTAATTAATGCGGGTCCCTCAATTCCATAGAATAATAAATCACACAATCAATACGTCAATAACTTATCCTGTTGGAGGAGTTCATTATTACCATTGTTGAGATTCATTTGCTATTAGGTGAGCACTTCCATTAAAATAATAATATGTGGGTCCCTTAACCACTGCATGAAAAATCAGATAACCAATACGCCAATAACTTATTCGGTTGGTGAAGTTCATTATTGCTATTGGCAGACAAATCCCATCATCTCCATATCTCTTAAAACAATGCTTTGTCTATCTATATGAAATGATTCCCGATTATGTTTAGCCTTTCTAAAATCACCTAGTGTAGACCACTCCGTTGGAGAATTAACACTATTAATTTTAGATTGAGTGTATAACGTTATTAATGCTCTAACGAAAAATAAAACATTAAATATCTTGTCATTATAATCTAGACTCTTTAAATTATGCGTAGGGCCTTATTTTTAAAGATCTAATTACAATGAACATTTAATATTTTTATTTTCATGAGACAACCATTCTTGTAATATTAAGACTCTTCAAATCATGCGTGGGGCCTTATTTTTTAAAATCTAATTACAATTATTTTAATAATGAAGGCCATGGGGCAATGTATAAAAATCCCCGCTCCCACTCAATTTTTAATCATTAATAATTAGGGTTTTGAATTTATTCATTTACATGATATAATGCATGCAAAACGTCTTGATTTTAATCCAATTAAATTTAGAAAATATTTGAACATTTAAATGATTCACTAATGTTTAATTTGAAGCACACTTTAAAAATAATTTACAAAAATAATTTTTCGTTTCCCAATAAGTGGCCTCAAATTAATTAGTAATCAAATCCAATTAATTTTTATAATTTAATTAATATAAATCAAGTCATTTAATTAAATATCATGGATCCAATGCATGAATAATAATTAATCAACAATTATCTATTCCATGCATCACATAAATAAATAAATAATAGACAGAAGCAATTTAAATGGCCAATGGATTCAGCTTTTAACATTTAATTACTCTAAGTATTGTACGGGCGTCCTCCAACGACTTGTAAACACCTGTAGGTAGCTGGTATGCATCTGGAGAAACAAAACAGCGCTTGGAATGCGCCCGGAAGACCCTGCATGCACTGGCACGCGCCTGGAGGAGCTGCAACACATCCCCACGCGCTGACACGTGCTTGGGGAGTGTGCAAAGAGTCCCCACACTCCTGCACGCGCTGGGGAGGTCAGCAGGCGCGTGACAAGCGCCTGCACGCACGCCCACCCGCTCTGACGCGCGCCCGCGCGCGTGTGGGATGTGGCTATGCGATGCACACGCCTGATTGGTGCTATAATGATCAGCGCGTGAAGTACACGCGCTCTCTTATTCGCTGGTGCATGAAGCGGCCTGATGGTGCGCCGCACTGGATCTTCTTCAGCCACATGATATGATCTAAAGGTGGCTGGTGCGGACGCATGTAGACTGCGCCGTACCAGATCCCTCGCCCACCTTCTCCAGCAATACCCTAGCCGGCAGCAGTATTCCGGTTGCCGGGAAATTGCCGGAATTCCAGAAAATAATTTTAAAAATTCCAGAAATTATAATTAAGCCCAAAAAATTCCCGAAAAATTTCGAAAAAATTCCAGAAAATTACTGAAGCCTAATTAAACCCTCTTGGACCTTCTTGAAGCTTCATAGCATCCTTTGATGAAGATTACATGGCTTTTAATAAATTTACAATTTGAAATACAATAGAAAAAATTAAATTATATCATTGAACTTTCAAACGGATAAATCAAAGCCTTAATTACATTCATCCAAAGATAAAATTACATTCCAATAACCTATAAGCTTCATCCATGGCCCAAACATTCATCATCATCCATTCACAATTATACATACATCATCATGTATTAATATATTAAATCATACATCAACATACATCAATATATATATAATTTGGATCCATGATGATGATTTTGATAAAAACATGATCTCTAGTAATGAATCAAACCATACTCTGATACCACTGTTGGGAAACGTGCAAGTTTTAAAATTTTTTTGAGGGATTTTGATTCATAGATCTTGATTCATCACATAGAGACAAGTTTTATGCAAAAATAAAATATGATATATCATTCAAGTAACAGATTGAATATTTACATCAAAGGTCTGAGTAAATATTTAAATCTTTTCTCTAAAGTGAATGTTCTCACTTATTGTAGATCCCTTAGCAAGATGCTTTCTCCTTGGATCTCCATCTTCTTGGTAATTGTTTTGCCTTTAGGAATCACTCATAAACCTCCATGAATGACCTTGGAAAATTAGGCTTGTAGGAGCCTCCATTAGATGAGAACATAAACCCTAATTTTCTAGAAAGAGAAAATATATTCCTTTTTCCTTCTACTAAAAATCACCCCTACAATATACATAGACCATGTATATTTATAGGCAACATAAAGATAAAGAAAAGGAAATAACAAATCATTCTCAATCTCTAATTCACATGTCTCAAATTTAATATGATTCCAATATCAAGTTGGGCTATGAGTGAAAATCCATTGGGCCTATTATTTTATTAGCTACAATGAATTAATAATTGGCCCGGTCCATAGACCCAAATTCAATTAATTCATAAATTAATTTCTACTCCACTAAAAGAAATTAATTGAATTTCAATTAAATAATAAATAACCTCTAAGTCAATATTGCACTTTGACCCCTCTATGCATAATTAGCTATCGGATAAATAAAGCCATCAAGCTGACTACTTAATTAATATATTTATTTTGGTACCTTTGATTATTTTTGACTCGATCACAATAAAACATTTGTTTGACAAAAATAATAATTTAAATAAATAAATATATAATAAATCATTTTGTCTAAAAACACACGAAGGCCTTCGAATTTACTTTGTGATCAACCATAGTCAATACAAAATAAATACAAGTAGCAATGATGCAAATATTGAAAATATAACCCTCTAACTATTAATTACATAACTACCCAAAGTGTCGGTCTAAGGATCCCGAAGAATCCGCCGAACAAATCAAAGTAATTATTAATTAATAAAAGAGTCTATACTTTTCTCATGCTTAAGAGTCAAATGCCATGACGGTGAAAGGGAGCAATTGCATACGACGACTCTCGCAATCTATCTCAACCTAACGCGAATCCAATTCAAATCTTAATTAATTATGAGTTCATCCATAATTACCGACTATGAACCATTTATGATTATTATTTATATTCATGTATTGATCGCCATCACATACATATATAAATATCTCTTGTAATCAAATGGACACTATCAATTCTATAATGAACATAATACATTGAATTCACCAATTGTATAAAGTATAAATATTTCAGAAACGTCATGAACTTATGTCACATTAATCCAGAGAGGAATTTGCTATGTTAGGGCATATGAATCCCAACAGATTAACCACCCCATTTGTGTATTAGAAAAAACTTTGATTGGATTAGCAGAGTAATGACATTAATGCTTATCATGCCTTGGGTGTAGATTCTTGGTATTTGTATCCATTACCTATAGGTCCGAAACCGATAACAAGAGTGATAAAAAATGTGAGCTGAAAATCTTAATATAATCGAATACTATGTCTGGTTCAAGTTTCACGTGTTCACTGTCTTCCTCTTGTTGCAAAGTTATATAGTATTGGCCAACTTAAAGACTCATTCCTTTTGCATACATACTCGCACTCTAGATTTTGAGGTTCAATGTGTGAAATCTAATTAATCAGGACGGGTATGTTTTTATGTTGTCCGATAGACTACATTTTTATTTTAAAGAGAAATATAAATGAAGGGAAAATGAAGTGGGTTTTTACCCTTTTACTTCTTATGTTAGCAATTGATTACGTCTACAATTTGCATAAATAATGTCAAAGTTTATATTGCAACAAAAGAGGGTCCTAAAAACTGCTGTTCAATAGTATTTCATTTATATATATATATATTATTTTGTAACTAATAAAACAATATCTATTAGCAATTTGAATTAAATAAGTAACAGTTATTTCATTCTAAACAATACTAGATACGCTAATATCCAAATTCCACCTCTTTTATTATTATTTTTATTTTTTTGAAAAATTAAGCAACTATATAGATAATGAGAAGATTACATGAAAATGCCTTTGGCCAAAACAAAACCCATTAAATCACGAGTTGCCAACTTACCAATATCATGTTCCTCTATGTAATGGTGTATATATCTATCTATCTATCTATTGTCTTAGCCAAAAACTGACCGGGAGAAAAGATGAGCACAACCACCACCACACCCCTACCTTATCATCTCACACCAAAAGACCACTTAATAGAGAACTCACCAACCTCCAAGCTCTCCCAGAAAATAATCTTGAATCTCTTGAACACCAAATGCAGTACTTCACTTCAACATCTCAAGCAAGCCCATGATTTGATTCTGAGGACTGGACACTTCCAAGACCATTTCATTGCAGGGTCCTTAGTGAAGTGCTATGCAAATCCTCATTTTGGCACATTGGACTGTTCCATTAAAGTCTTTGACCAAGTGCTGAAACCAAATGTTTTTGTATGCAATTCTGTGATCAAAGGATGTCTTGAAAACAATGAGCCATGTAAGGCCATCTCTTTTTATTATGAGATGGTGGTTGTGAATTCTAGGCCTAACAAGTACACATACCCTACACTGTTCAAGGCTTGCACCGCGGCGCGAGCTGTTGAAGAAGCAGTGCAAATCCATGCTCATGTGGTGAAACATGGACTTGGAGGAGACGGGCACATAAAAAGTGCAGGAATTCAGATGTATGCGTCGTTTGGGCGCCTCACAGAGGCACTGAGTATGCTCAATGATGAGGGTGAGGAATCTGATGTTGTGTGTTGGAATGCTATGATTGATGGGTACATGAAATGTGGAGATGTTGAAGCTGCTAAAGAGTTGTTTGATGGTATGTTAAAGAGGAATGTTGGCACTTGGAATGTAATGATCACTGGTTTCGCTAGATGTGGGATGCTTGAGGAGGCAAGAAAGGTTTTCGATAAAATGCCCGAGAAGGATGATATATCTTGGAGTGCAATTGTTGATGGTTATAACAAAGGAGGGTATTTCAAGGAGGCGTTGGAAATTTTCCATGAAATGCAGAGAGAAAAGGTTAGGCCAAGAAAATATGTTCTTTCGAGTTTGCTAGCCGCGTGTGCTAATGTGGGAGCCCTTGATCAGGGTAGATGGATACATACTTATATGGAAAGGAATTTCATTCCAATAGACGCAGTGTTAGGGACTTCCTTGGTTGATATGTATGCCAAATGCGGGCGTCTGGACTTGGCATGGAGAGTTTTCGAGAAGATGAAACAGAAAGAAGTGTTCTCTTGGAATGCCATGATAGGGGGACTTGCTATGCATGGCTGCGCAGAGGATGCACTTGAGCTTTTCTTGAAGATGCAGGGGGAGAAGATAAAGCCCAATGATATCACTTTTGTGGGTATCCTAAATGCTTGTGCTCATGCTGGTTTGGTTGACAAGGGTCTAAAGTATTTGAATTCTATGGAGCAAGTGTATGGGGTTGAGCCTACCGTCGAGCACTATGGCTGTGTGGTGGACCTGCTAGGCAGGGCAGGGCTTCTAACTGAAGCAGAGGAACTGATTAGTTCTATGCCAATGCAACCCAATCCTGCAGTATGGGGAGCACTTTTAGGTGCTTGTAGGAAACATGGAAATGTAGTTTTGGGTGAGAAAGTGGGGAAGATCTTGCTCAAATTGGAGCCACAAAATAGTGGGCGTTACGCATTGTTATCAAACATCTATGCCAAGGCGAGGAGATGGGATGATGTTGCGAGTTTGAGAAAATCAATGAAGGAAAGAGGGATTAAAACGACTGCAGGAGGTAGCATGATTGAATTGGATGGAACCATCCATGAATTCAAAATAGGCGATGGCTCACACCCACAAGCAAAAGAAATCTACTTGATGTTGAAAAGGGTCATTGAGAAGCTGCAAATGGAGGGTTATTCACCAAATACCTCTCAAGTTCTGTTTGGCATAGATGAGGAGGAAAAGGAAACTGCACTTGGGCACCATAGTGAAAAGCTTGCCATTGCCTTTGGGCTTCTCAACACAATGCCAGGAACAACCATCCGCATTGTTAAGAATCTAAGGGTATGTGAGGACTGCCACTCTGCCACTAAGCTCATTTCACGAGTATATAACCGGGAGATAATTGTGAGAGATCGCATACGCTATCATCACTTTAAGGATGGAACTTGTTCGTGCAAGGATTTCTGGTAATATAAGGGATTGCAGAACTGACAGAAGCAATATGCTCCTCTGATCTTAGGAAAAAATATTATATCATGTGTTTCGGTTCTGTACAATATATATATTAGAGTCTAAAACAGATCAGATCAAATTACAGGAAGGAGATTGCCAAATATAAACATCAGATTTGTAATTTATATGTTGAGTTACTTGAGTAGTTTTTTCAGAACAACCTTATCACTGCCACTTGAATGTTGCACCATATACTGGTACATTTGGAACTGCTCGGCTGTGAGATACAAAAATCTTTCCTTAGTAACATTTTTACTTTGCTTTGGGAAATGAATGTCTAAAATGTCGAACCATTCCCTTAATGTATTTTTATCCAACCCTTCATATCAAAGACCTCATAAGGTCCTCTTATGGCCTCTTTGGCTTGGGAGTTGGCTTGTGTGGTCAACTCTTAGTGCTAGAGATCGAATTGGTAGAGAAAAGACCTCATGAGCATACTACCCTTTGAAACATAGTCAATTATCTGGTCCAGTTTCAATATGAACTCCATCAAATGTATTTGGTGTCAACACTAGTTTTATGACTAGTTGAATCACCGTATATGCAAGGTAGGAGCATGCCCCATGAACTATACCTAGCATATCCAACGATTCAATGTGGTATATGGAAATACCCAGAAACAACAGATAACTTTCTAACCTAGCTTGGTACTTTACTTAGTGTTCTTGGATACAAGTAAGACAATCTAATTTTGTAGAGATTGTGATCCTCGTAAGCCTGTACCAAATCAAGCAAACTATTCCACTATTCCCAGCAACATTGCACAATATAATGCTTAGCACAGTTGGTGGCAGTGTAATGGGGTTGAAGACATTGAAAGTGGTTGGGCATAAGGAGACTTGTAGTTCAATGCAGCTAACTGAGGTCAACTTTCAACAAATTACATGATTAGCATTTTTAGAATGTCTAGTACATAGAGAATCCATATGCAAATTTTATGTTGCAACAATGTCCAAAATTTTATAATATTGTTTGTAATCTAAATTTTATAATATTATTTATTATTAGGCTCTAGCTTTTGGTGTGGAGGTAATTTTATATAATACTAGAAGAAAGAAAGATCAAACTTTTTTTTTCCTAAATGAAAGATAGATCAAACTTAACAAAGACTATTTGTTGAAAGACGTGATATTATTAAAACACAAGTGGTTTACTAGGCTACATGCTATTGGTGGATTTTATAGGAGCACGTTGTCGAATGAGTTTGGAATTGGAATCAGTTACATCCTTTATCAGCTTTTGAACTGCTTGAGCTGCAACTATGTTCCAAGCCTGTTGTGCAGAATTGTAAATCCTTGATTGGATTTTTTTTAGTAATGTCTTTTCTTAATATTTTATGAACTGAAAACAGACCCGTTGAAATCGATGAGTGCATACATTATGCAATTTCGCAACTTGGTAAAATAGGGTTCTGACAAAATTCAAGGCACAAGTTAGCTCTTTTCAATCTGTTTATAAACAGATACATTCCCATGTGCTGCAAAAGCAATGAACTGAGTTAAAATGTTGTTGCCACTCAAACTAAGGCGTTGCTCACACACTCACTTCACTTGTTCTTACAAACAAAACTCTCACTCTATGTAGGCATTCTCGTTCTCAATGAACGGCTAGAATACATTAAAATTGATGACTACAATTTAGGCTCCAGAACTCTCCACCTAAACATATTTACAAACTCTACCTAACTCTCTAATCTTCTAGAAATCTTTCAGGTTACAAATCTCTACAAAATACTCCTACCCATTCTAGAGAATCCTTCAATTCTCTTTGCACTACTCCTCAATCTCAGCATAAATGTTGACGACTCTTGAACTCAACTCTACTCATGCCCTGCTTAGTTTGACTGAGATCAAACTTCCACAAATTACTTTTAGAATGTCTAGTACATGTTGAGAATCCTGAAATAAGATTTCATAATGCTTTAGCACATAGAATACAGTTTAAGTTCTTGATTCATCATCACCAACTCTTTCTATTATGGAGCATTCATCCTTAACTTTTGATGTGATCTAAATTTTCTAATATTTCTTTGTTATCAGGCTATAACTTTTGATGTGTTGTTAATTTTATACAATAATAGTAAGCAAAATAAAGATCAATCACAAACTACAATTGCTAAAATCTACTAACACAATCATCTTCGTGACAAAGAAAACACAACTTGTTTATTGAAACCTGAATGTACTCAACCTGTTGCTATTTCAACCAATATTGACTGAGTTCAAGGGAAGATTGATAATTTTGTTATATATAAGCAGTTGCAAAACTGGTTTTCCCTATAGATAGAGATATGTTTCAAAAAAAACCCCTTCCGAACCTGCAAAGCTATCATCCGGTGCTTTCTCTAACTGGAACAAAGTGCTTCCATGGAATCTAGCTATATAGTCCCTCTACTGTGCTCTGGATACTAGTAGTTTAATTTTTTTTAAAACATTAATTACTATATATGTTTCCCATGTCAAGTCATGAAACTATGTAATTTAAAACACCAAACTGTATCAGGCATAGTCTTTTTTTATTTCCATATGGTTTTAAAAACAAGCACTCTAGGCCTACAGGCCATACACACGCAATACCACAAGACAGAATGGAACAACACCAAACCAGTAGTGATGCTGATTTGATTCTAGTTAGATGCATAGTATAACATGTTCCCCTTGGATAACAAACTTGCATCACATCAGTTCCACGTTATTATTATTATTAACACCATCTTTATGATGACACATATATGGTGCTATATAGATTTTCATACTGCAGTTCAATGGGGAGGGCGGCGATCATCTGGATAAATATGGTGGTTGTCAGTGGTTGAACCCGAGTTACTATAATTCCCAGAATTGTCAATCTTTTCAGTGTCGCCGTTGTTGTTATTGTTAACGGTGGTACCATCTGTTGGCACTGAATTTTCATTCGTACCAGACTTCCCGGGATTATCAGTTGGCTTAACATCAGTTGCACCATTGTTAACTCCATGACCAGATGGCTGCGAGTTTGTTACAAGAGTTTCTGTATTGTCCTTCTTCTTTTCCTCCAAAACAGACCTCCTGCCATCAGTTGTAAGGCACAAGAAGGCCGAGGCAACGAGGAGCAGGATTAGGACTAACTTTGGCTTTGTCATGATCAATTAATCTGTACATTTAGAAACAATAATTGAATAATGAGTAGTTAAAAGTACTAAAGTGTTATATATATATATATATATATATATATATATATATATATATATATATTGCATGAAATTTGAATTGAAATGAACTAATGAGAGAAGCTCTTGAAGTACCTTATTTCCTTCTCTGAGTTATTTGATAATGATAGTGAAGGTTGGGCATTAAGGAAGAGTATTTATAGGATAATTATTTATTGGATTAATCATGATTAGGAGGATAATAAGATGATTGTGGGCACTAAGAGAGCACAAATGTATAGTGGAGTAATCACAATGTGTTGACTTCATTGGAAGGAGGGTTAATGTCCTTGTCTATAAAAAGAAGTGGATGCCAAATAAGAATAAAGGGTTAGGGCAGCTCCAACTGTATGTGTCTACATAATTTTTACAAACTTACTTAATATAGGGTTGATTTGTTAATGCAATGAAAAAGAGGGAGGAGAAAGAAAATATGTTAATGCGACTGTGTAAAATACACAACATTTTTACACATTGGTGATGTAATAATGTCTTAACAGACTGTTGGAGATTAAAAAATATATATATTACATATCATACGTGATAATGCATATTTTACACAAAAAAAATATTTTAACATACTGGTGGAGATGCTTTAAGGTTTAAAATGTATTGAATGGATGAAAATGATGTTAAGTTCTTAGGGATTTTTTTATTCCAAAAGATTGATTATATGTTTCCATTTTAGGGTTCAATTGAAGTGCCACTTTGAACCCAAAGTTTTTTTCAACTAATGTCAGCCAATGTGATGATTGGTTGGTGACAGTAAAATAGTGTCATTAATCTAATTAAATATTTTAAGAAAATGACCTTCTTGCAATGTTACATAAAAGCTCTATTAAAATATTGGAGTCAGTTAATTTCTGTCCTTTCAAAAGTTACCCTTTTGGTCTAATTCTGTTACCATCATTTTCACTTTCTGTTTTTATGCTTTTTTTGGTTAAATTTTTCTGTAATAAACTTGAGTATTTGATTACACGGAAAACTTCTCTGAATTGCTTTTTCTGAACAAGACAAATATTTTATTTTATTTTATTTTATTAAGCTCTATTAAAATATAGGATCCAATTAATTTCACTCTGAAAAGTTTCTCTTTTGGTTTGAGTTCTGTTTCCATCATTTTCTGAATGCTCAAAAATGAGAACAATGGAAATTTTGTATAGAAGTTGTTTTTGGATCAATTTTCAATTTCAATAAACTATACTCTGTTTGAAGACACAAAACTTGTCTTACTAGCTTTTTAAGAACAAACAACTTTTTTTTTTTATTTTTTATCCTCGTCTTTGTGTATGTTTCGAGTTGAAACAAATTACTAGAATTCATCCCCACCTACTAACTAGTCCACATTTTTCACAACTTTTACATGTAGAAGCCCCTTATTTTCATATGTCTTAATTTTCAAAAAAGAAAATTAAAATTTGAATCTCGAATTATATTTCTACGGAAGAGAATGTCGAAGTTGAAAAATTCCCTAACTCTTCGAATTCTTTTTATTTACTGATTCACAATTTTAATCCAGTCACATGTGTAATATTTTCTAACAATGCCAATTCATGTAAGGTTTAATCTTTTCCACCTAATCAACAAAAGTTTAATGTATGAATCAACTAATTTGGAAGATGATAACTGTAATACCCCTAGTTTTCAAAAGGACAAAATGAGAATTTAATTTTGCATTTTGGTTTTTATTTCATTTTTATTTGATTATATGACTTAATTGTTTGAATTGATTGTTTTATTTGGGGAATTTATTTTATGTGTATTTGCTTAATTGCTTAATTACTATTTATGTGTATTTAATTTAATAGTTGAATTGTTTGTGTGTGATTTAATTTCATTATTTTATTTGTATGATTTAATTGACGTGTATTGTTGGTTAGTTTATATAATTTATTTGTCAATTGTTTATTTAATTTTTTTTAAATGGTCGTGGATATAGATTAGGGTTAGGGTTTTCTTTTATGGGGAGTATTTAGCCGACTTGTAAATTAGTCGAAATTAAAAGTAGGTTAAATATAGAATGAAGGCCTATATTTATTAAACGAAATAAGTCTGCTAGGGTTAAAAAACCCTATGCA